TGCAAACTCACCGGGTTATTATCGGTAAGTTTGATGATCTCTGATTAAAATTGCAAGCTAACCCAAACTAACCCTTACTATTAACTGAATTTACAGAAAAAGTGTAAACTTACAGAAAAAGTGTAAATTTACAGAAAAAGTGTAAATTTACAGAAAAACTGTAAATTTTTATAAAAATATTTTTTAATATTAGCATGGCAGCTCTACGCTTTTGTAGTTATAGGCCTATGTTTCAGTATGTCTTTTGAAAATCTAACTTTTGCTTTCTTCGGGATTTTTTCGGAAGGCAAGTCCATTCAAATACTTGAACTGATTTTCGAAAATAAGAGGTACCTACTTTTAAGAGTTGGACGTTTTAGTTTGAACTCTCGAACTACGCCTTTATCCTTGTTTGTTTCAAATCTAATTATTTCGGTTTCTTCAAAATGTTTACAACACACCACAGAATTTTTCGTTATTGTATAATCTCGGGTATAATTATCTTGGTGTATTGCTTTCATCCACATTTTTTGCACTTCAGAATTTTTTTGGAAATAAAAATGTTTGCATTTCTTCAGTTTTTAAGGAACTCCTAATAGTTCGATTTGCACCCAGGAACACAGTAGTTTCATGGCATCTGGAACAAGTTTAAATATCTTAGGTAATATATCGAGACCTATGCTCTTGCAGACAAATATTAATATTGTTTTTATTGTTTTACCTTACCTTACCTTCATTTTTGCTCCTGTACCCATTTGCTAAAAATGTGCAATCAAAGCACAAAGGAACAGGTATCAACTAAATATGGGCAATATATTGGTGTGTTTCTATCCACTTTTTCGTCAATAATGCCCATAAAAATACTAAATTGCAACAATACACAATGAAAGCAATACACAGAAACACATAACCCAATAACAAAATAGCACCATACGCGACGTAGCCGTCATTTCCAATTTCATGGCTTGTTAACTATAGGAGGCGGTGGCAGCACTCATCTTTCCCAGTTTTCAATATTTTATGATGTCATTTGACATTTTTAATTTGTATGTAAATTCTGAATTCAAAAATTGAAGAAAAAAAAAATGACAGAACTGTCAAAACCTGTCATTTGTTTTAGTAGAAAAAAATACTCTAATCTGGTTCATTCTCGATTTAAAGTAGTTTATTGGTGATAAAACATTGAACAAAGTTCATGCACGTCACATTTTGACAGCTGTCAGAATCTGTCAATAGCTTTAATTCAAAAAAGAATCAAATCTAGTTCTTTTCCAATTTAAGTTAGGCTTATTTATGATAACGCATGAAAAAACATTATACGCAGGTTTCAGATTTTGACAGAGATGTCAATTTTCATTTTAAAGTATGTAGTTTTAGTATAAGGGATTTTATTTCATTAAAGTCATTATAGTACTCAGTACTATAATGAAATCATTAAAGTACTCGAACATTTTGACACTTACAAATGAAATCCACAATGATGTCATTTTTTTCAAATTTTGATTTCAGAATTTACATACAAGTTACAAATGTTAAATGACATCATAAAATATTGAAAACTGGAAGAGATGAGTGCTGCCGTTTGACAGGGTTTTGACAGGTGTCAAAATGGTTGACATTTTTCAACTTAACATGGCCGTTTTAGTAGGAATAGATTTTTTGTTCATTAAAATCTGCCATAGTTACTCTGCTTTTGGATATAAGATTCCAATATTTGACAGCTAACCACACGTCATCTGTCATATATACAGGATTGTGCCCATGGTAAAAAATGTTGCTTACGGCATCCCCAATAACATATTTAAATTTTATCCAAATATCACGGGTAACCAATTTCCATTTAAATATTGCGGGGTCCTTTGCTCAGACTGGTTTGTGATTTTTGTGCGAACAGACCTAATATGGAACCTTGTATAAAATCTGTTTTTTTTTTAAAGATAATTACCCAAGTCAAAAATTTAGTAACTATGTTGGCAACACAAGCCTTTTCTACATACAAATTTGAAACCATTGACAATTTTACATTGTATTGCCAACATAATGTCATTTTGACTTTTATCTTTAAAAAAAAACAGACTTTAGAACCTAATTAAAGTACACTGGAATCGAACCCGTTAGGGTACAGGCTCAACTGGAGGTTTATAGTCACTGCTAAATTTACTATTTATCAATTCAAATTATTCTAAAAAATAACATTACTTTCTCTGTCATTGAATGCACTTTTTCCGAATTTGAATTTACTTTTTCTGAAATTGATACGACTTTTTCCGAAAACTACTTTACATTTTCCTAAATAAAAATTACTTTTTTCCGCAAACGTCAAAAAATGACGACTTTTTTAACCTCAATTCTTAATGTTGAAGTTTGACTTCACAGACGTCATTTTTTTGGTTACTTCTTTGTCCGCGCGTTCCGTGAGCGTCCAAAAAAGTATTTTTTTGTACGCTCACGGCCGGACAAAAAAGTGACGTCACAGAAATTTCCTAGATTCCATCGCTTTGAACACCGTTTGCGGAAAAAATCGCATGTTTTATTCGGAGAAAAGAACTTTTTGTGGCTTGCCTAAAATTGTCAAACATTTAGTCTCACCACAAAAAGTATCACTTTTACTCCTAAGAAAACAATATACTATTTCCGAAATTGAGGTTGAAGTGGTGTAGTTTTTGAGATACAGGTATATATGCATTTACACATTGATGACATAAAAGTTTGTATAGCGCTGGAACAAATACTGAAATGGCGGGAATTTTGAAGTTTGAGCTTAGTTGATGGCACAAATAAACTTATTTATGTTGTTTCACATCTTCTCAGATCCGAATGAGAAAAATGATGTGGTACTCCATAAAGTTTTATGCCATTTTTTGATGTAGATTTAAAAAAAAAAAGGAAAAATAAACAGTACATTAATTGTACTAGAAAAAAAAATACAGGGTGAGTTACTAAGCGCACGGTGGTCCATATCTCCTATACTAACGGAGATCGGAGAAAAGACTAAATACAAAACTTGTAGATAAACATGAGTACTACATTCCAAAATTATTTTCCAGTATACAGAGTGGCCCAATAGCTAGTAGTGACATAAATTTATGCTTTTTTATATGACTACCCCTGTATATTATGACATTTCTGGATTCTGCGAAAAATTCTAGACATTTCATGTACAATGTCATATACCTATCTTCAACTGTTTCGGAAATATTGACAGTCGAAAACTGACTTTTTTGCATCTTTGACGGACTGTAAAACTTGAACGGTTAATTTTACAAGAAAATGGATTTTACATTCCTATCTTAGTTTTTCATAAACTATCATTTTGCACCAATCTTGAATTTATTCCATGATTAAAAATTCCGCCTAAATTAATAATCTTCGGTTAAATTCAAAGTTGGTGTCAAATGATAGCTTATGAAAATCTAAGATAGGAATGTAAAATTCGTTTTCCTGTAAAATTAACCGTTTAGGTTTCACAGTCTGTCAAGATGCAAAAAAGTCAATTTTCAACTGTCAATATTTCCGAAACAGTTGAGGATAGGTATATGACATTACACATGAAATATGTCTAGAATTTTCCGCAGAATCCAGTAATGTCATAATATACAGGGGGAGTCATTTAAAAAAACATAACATTATGCACTACTAGTTATTGGGCCACCCTGTATACTGGAAAATAATTTGGGAATGTAGTAGTCATGTTTATCTACAAGTTTTGTATTTAGTTTTTCCTCCGATTTCCGTTAGTATAGGAGATATGGACCACCACGCGCTTAGTAACTCACCCTGTATAATATAGCTAGATAGGTCGAATAAAGAGTTAACAAACGCAAAACAAACGTCAATCTCCTGCTGAGAAATCACAAGAAATAAATATTCTAACAATAAACAACAAAGTTACAAGAATAAAATATTAAATAAACATTAAATTTTACTAGAAAAACATATAAAATTATAGCTGGATAGGTCAAATACCTTCAGCTACAGTTCTCACAGTTAATACATAAACCTCATACATGCTTCCATGTATGTACGGGGTGTTTTTTTTATCTTTGATATAATTTTAATCCCCTGTAACTTTTTTGTTTTTGAAGTTATCAAGGTAAACAAAAAAACAAAATGTAGGGTTAGTAGCCAAGTTTTTTTTCAAGTTACACATAAAACAAAACACTATTAATTTTTTGACAAAAAAGCCTACATTATATTTTTTCAAATGGAACAACCTGTATATTATATGTGTGTTCGATAGAATATCTTATTCTGATTACAATGATATAACACACTTCGTATTTTGGTCCACTCGTTTTTGACAAATCGGCAAAAATATGAAACTTTCGAAGTCAATCTTATTAGGCGGGGGTCTGATATTTTGGGACGAGAATTATTGAGAGTGCATATAAAAATTTCATATATTTTTGCTGATTTGTCAAAAACGAGTGGACCAAAATATGAAGTGTGTTATATCATTGTAATCAGAATAAGATATTCTATCGAACACACATATAATATACAGGGTGTTCCTAATTCTAAAAAAATATAATGTAGGGTTACATGTCAACACAGAAATGTCGTTATTTTAAGGTTATATATTTGTTTTCTCTGGTCACAGTTTCTAGAGTTATGGATGTTTCATAGGTTTCCACAAAGCAGCTCGGAAAGCTCTGTAACTCATAAGGTGTGCTTGTCTTGTAAATTAGTAAGACAGAGAAAGATGAAACAGAATCGAATGATAGGAGTGATCTTTCATAAGTCTCTAGCTTGCCGAATATTCCGCAATGCGCTATGGGATGCGGTATTATATGGGTAACAGGCAGATGTTAATGCATATAAAATGTGTTGATTTCTTGGACACTAAACTACCCGTATCTCAAAAACTAGTCATAGGATTAACTGGTGTCCATGGTACATATTGATCAAAAAGGTGAGATCTATAACATACTAAAATTTGGTTAAATTTGACTGCAGTCAGAAATTCCATAAGTGTTCGGGGTCCATTTTTGACAAAATGTAAAACTTTTGATTTTTTCTAGGTGTTCGTGCTACTCTTAATGCCCGAACTTCCATTCTAGCAGCTGCCAACCCTATAGGAGGACGTTATGACAGAGCCAGATCATTACAACAAAATATTCAACTTTCTGCACCTATCATGTCCAGATTTGATTTGTTTTTCATTTTAGTAGACGAGTGTAATGAAGTTATTGATTATGCTATTGCAAGAAAAATTGTCGATTTACATAGTAATATCGAGGAGAGTGTTGAAAAGGTTAAGATTTTTGAGGGTTTTGTGGTATTGAATTATAATTTGGTATTTTATGTTTAGGTGTATTCTCGGCAAGAAGTACTTCAGTATATCAGCTTTGCGAGGAAATTTAAGCCTATTATTAATCCAGAAGCAGGAGAACTTCTGGTTAGGTAAGCATTTAATAGTTATCTAGAATAGTTAATAGTAATCTGAGGTTGAAATTACAGGAAAATTGACATCTATTTCAGCTGACAAATTTTCTTTTTCAGTTACTACAATCGTCTAAGACTCAGGGACAGCACAAGCTCAGGCAAATCAACTTGGCGAATCACTGTCCGACAACTAGAAAGTATGATTCGTCTCTCAGAAGCTATGGCCCGTATGGACATTAATGATGAAGTACAACTCCGACATGTCCGAGAAGCTTATCGCTTACTCAACAAATCAATTATAAGAGTAGAACAGCCTGATATTCACTTGGAAGGTGACAGGGACCAATCGGTAAACGATGATCAGTTGATGGAAGCGGATGAAGAAAATCCCGCAACTCCACATGAACAACAGCCAGCTAAAAAGAAGATGGTGGTTACTTTTGAGGAGTACAAAACTCTCAGTAATATGATTGTGATTTATATGAGGAAACACGAGAGCATGGTCGAGGAGGAAGGTAAAGAAGGATTGCACAGGAGTGACTTGATTGAGTGGTATCTGAATCAAATTGCCGATCAAATTGAATCTGAAGAAGAATTGATTGAAAAGAAAGATATGATGGAGAAAGTTTTGGATAGGCTGATTTATCATGTAAGGAATATTGTTGATTTCAAGATGATTTTTCTGAATTAATAACTTCTTTTTAGGATCAAATTATTATTTCTTTAACGAAAACAGGTCTTAAAGGCAAACCTCAGGAAGAGGATGAAGATGCATTGTTAGTTGTCCATCCAAATTATTTGATAGACCAGTAGTACCTAATTGTGTTTGAAACATTAATTTTAATTATTTTTTTTTATTTACCTTTTATTATTTAAATTTTTGTGGAATAATAGTTTTTTTATAATTATTGGAGTTCGATAAGAAATAAATATGAGATTCCATGAAATTAATGTATATTTTCTTTCGGTTAACCTAATCTATTTCTTCTGTTTGAACTTTGTTTTGATTGTCTTTTATAATTTTCAAAGTTTGAGAGACCGAACGTCAACTCAACACTTTTTTTAGCAATTTGATAAAATTATTTAAATTGGGAGGCAGAACATTTTAGCCACACCCAAGAAAAAAAAACAGTTTAGTGGAATCACTATTGAAAAGGGACTATCCAAAATTGAGGATTCCTATGATCTATCTTATATTGAAATAAACGGCAGACTTCTGGAATATCTTACACCTTATTGGAGTACTTCACAACTTAAATGCATTTTTGACCTACTTGATTAGCATTACATAAAAACATCAGCAAACAGGATCGATATAGGCGATAAAAAAGTGGAATAATGTGCCTTTGGAAATTTAGATTTATATTATTATCGGTTTATAAAAATCTACGTCTTCCGACTCTCAATCTCCACCCATATCTGTCAATGCAGGCATCCTCTCCTCCCAAAAACAAGTTCTTAATGCTCCATTGTATGCTCTTCAAAAACTTCAAGCTCCAGAAGAATAGGGTCCAAAAAAAATTTATGTTAGGAGGTTCCAACGAAGCTTGTTTGGCAGAGGATTAGTGTGAAAAAGCAGAGTAAAGTGCTGTGACTCTACATTGGTGTAGTAGTAGGCAAAATACATATTAGAAAGACAATTAGGAATATTTTACTCAATTTCTATCTACAATGTTAGTCTTTTATGATTACTACAATAAAACATTTATGAAATTTAACTTTTCTTTTATTGAATATGGAATATGTAACAATTATTATTATTCTTTACGACAATTCAAAAACGAGCCCAAAACTAAAAATCCAACATTATTAGTTTCAATGTAAATCTCTTCAAATTTGTCCAACATGGTGGCTTCACCTGGGAGAAGTATGAAAATTACAAGCTGAAACAAATATCACAATAAAATCCATTACTTACAATATTCATCTGCCTCATCGTATTCCGAATACAAATCCACAACACTCACTAGATGTCGACGGAATCCTAGGGCTCCAATTTTCTTTAAAGTCTAAAAAAATAAACCTATAAGTGTCCGAAGGTAGTTTGTTAAGAGAAATGTTACTTACATCTGCTAAATAAAACACATCAACAGGCTTCAGAAAACAAAATTTGTCACAGAGTGTCATCAAAGTAACCTTAGGATTCTCTATACAGTAAGAGAACACATTGGTTAGCCACATTTTGAGCATGTCTTTGTCTAAAATACCATCGACAGTAAACCAAGGGAGAGGTTTTATTTTAATCCACTTGTTTATGCTAAAAAAAAAAAATATGTTTTTCAATTTGTACTTCATTAAATGGGTAAATTTCTTACTCCAAGGCTTTAATTACATCATCTGTCACTCTGTTCTCTTTTCCATTATTTTTAGATCTCAACATATTGGCTTGTTCAGGTGTTATATTAAATGTATCGGTAAGCCAAGCGTCACGGAATTTGTAGTGAACGAACGTTACAGCGCAAATTCCAGTTTTTAGTAAAATATGATGATCAGTTAAGATTTTTAATATTAATTCTAGGGAATTGGTATTTGTGAAGCTGACAAATTTTTCCTAAAATAAATATAATTAATTATCAGTACATACAAGTATAGTAAACACCTTTAGCTCATATCCTGTAGCGCCAAGTATTCCTTTGCTCTCAATATAGTCCAGCATTTCATCAGACAACAGACTTACATCTTCAATTGTTCCACCCTTTTCTAATAATTCATCAAGTGCTGCCCCTTTATTGCTCGGTGTACCAACATAAGACTCTCTTGAAATTAAATTATAATAATTATAAAAATAATAATCTTATCTTGAATCAATTACTTTTCCAAGCTGATCCAAATCTCCTCCAGTTGACTCCTGCTTTCTATATAATCAGACAAATAATGGGCATTTAAACCGTCTGCATTAATTGTTTTCAAGGAGGGATACTGTTGCACAAAATGTTTCTTCATTAAGTTATAGCCAGCTTCTTCATTTTCAAATTCTTCAAAATTTACAGAAAGCAACTTGGTTAAGTCAGAAATATATGGAACCAAACGCTTCTTGGAGGAATCATATTGTTTTAACATTTCTGAAATCAAAAATTAGAACAATAAAAATCGAAACTTATTAGTGTACTAACCCTCTTTTATTTCTTCAAGATCCAATACTCTCTCTTGCACTGCTTGAACAGTCATTTCTTCATCTTCCACTATTTTTCCTTCTTCATTTTTCTTATGACTAACTTCCAAATTTATTAAATCAGGACTCGGACTACGTACACGTTCAGCATCAATACAATCCGATATCCAATGTTTTAAGTTGTCTATTGTAACCATATCGTTGCTTGTTATTGATAGATCCAGAGGTTCATCATCGTCGAATTGTATTTCATCTTCGGTGGTTGGTTCACTGGTTGAAGGGCCCGGAATGGGTTCGCAAATTTCAGGACTGTCTTCTTTAGTTTGGGAACTAATAAAATGAATAGGTAACCGATGTTAATATTTTAATAAAAATTATAATTCAGTCTTGAGTTAGAATCCGTAGTTGTAACTTGCATAAAATAAATTGTTTTAAAAACCCTTTCGCGAGTTTACGTATTATAACTGGCGCAGTCGGATTAGGACAAGTTCAACAGCTTTAGGGCAAATAAAGCTGGTTCGTTTCAATGATTTGTGAGCTTAACGAACAAATTTTTCGGAAATTCGCGTTTTCAGGTTTCGCGGGTATACACCGGGTATAAATGGTTGAATTGAGTAGATCACAAAGAAGATACGTACAAAACCGTAGATCCAGATAACCTTCCCTCCGGAACAATTTCAAGAGCAGATTGGAATTTGTGCTGGAATTTGTAGACTCCATCGTGGCCGTCTCTATGAGGAAAGTACTGGCTCTTATCTAAGTAGTATTTCATGTTATCTTGAGGTTTATTTTGTAAGGTTATTAAAAAAAATTGTCAAGTGTTGATATTTCTTGCGATTTTGATTCAGACTCACTTATCCATCTGTTTTAAATACCATTTATATATTTATTTTTCAATACTAAAAGTTCATGAAACATGTCTCTTAAAGCAGAGTATTTAGGCATGGTTCCTGAGTTTCAGGGAGAAACTGAACTTCTCCCCAGATTTCTGTCTATTTGTGAAAAATTGGTTACAAAATTCTATAATACAGCCGATCAAACAGACTACCAAAATGAATATTTGATGTCTAGCATTTAGCATTCTTTCTAAAATCAAAGGGGAAGCTGCAATTAACATAGCATCTTCAACAATTAGTACCTTCAATGATTTAAGAACGGCCCTTCTCGCTGCTTATGCTGATAAGCGCGATATATACACCCTCAATATAGAAATGACAGAAATGAAACAGGGTAATGAAACAGCTTTTGACTTTTATAATAGAATACAACATATTTTAAACTTACAAATATCCTATATCACTACTCATTGTGTTGATCAAGAAAGAAATATTTTAGCTAAATATTGTCGATTTTTGGCTCTAAGAGTCTTATTACGTGGTCTCAAAGAACCAATAGGATCCTTAATGAGAACTAAAAATCCTGCGGATTTGAATAGCGCCCTAAATATGCTTACAAACGATTTCCAAATTGAAACTGCACTGCAAAAATCTCACAAAATGCAATATTTGCAAAATAAAAATAGCAAAATTAATCTATCTAACAAATCAAGAACCCCTCAACAACCTCAAAATTTTGCAACACCAACAAATCAAAATCTTTACAATAACTTCCAAAGGAATTCTTCAAGACTACCTGCCATTGGACATAATAGCTCAGATCAGAATTCTCCTAAACCTATGTCCGGGGTACCACATTTTGTGAATAAACCTAGCAATTTTCACAGAAGTCCAAAAATGACGCCCATGTCAGGCGTTTCGACTTTCACTGCCAGATCCGCATATCCAAACAACTCCCAAAAACCACCAAATTTTAGATTTGAATGTAACTCTTCCAACATTTCAGAGTTAACTGAAATATCCGATGATAATGACCAATATATTAACACCCAAGAAACATTTGATGCCATTCCTACTGTGGAATATCCTGCAGATTCAGAAGATCAATATTTCGATCAACCTCAGGTTTTTCAGATAGAAGCCTCGGAAACAGCATACCCTATTTCGAATTAATGAATCTCACTAATTCAGATAGTAAATTACCCTACATAATTCTTCCAGATTTAAATTTAAAAGTTTTAATTGACACCGGAAGTACAAGGTCTTTTGTTAATACGAATGTAGCAAAAAAGTATTTTGGAAATCATATAAAATATGACCCCTTCAAAATTTCAACAGCGCATGGCACATCCACGGAAAATTTCAGCACAGAAATTTCTCTTTCTAAAACTTTTGAAATCAACCTAAAACCATTTGAATTCTATCTTTTTGATTTTCATAGATACTTTGACTGTCTCTTAGGCATAGACAACTTGGCATTACTAAAAGCAAGCGTGGATTTTCAGAAAAATATTATAAAAACCCCTAAAATTGAAATACCCCTGAATTTTCATAACATAAATAATTCTTTAAATTTGGTCACAATTGAACCTCACTGTGAACAAGTAATTAAAATAAATGTTAAAAATGTGAAAGACGGGGAAATTCTTATACCTTGTGTAGAAAATTCGGACTTAGAAATTCCCGAATGCGTAGCTGTGGCAAAGAATCATCAAGCGTTTTGTGTAATTTTGAATAAGTCTGAAAATGAAAAAGTTATCAATATTTCTGAACCACTTTATGTAACAAATTTTAATGAGTATGACACAAATTCCGAGACTAGTTCAAAATCTTTTGAAAACTTAAATAATTTCAAAACACAAAAACTTAAATTTGACATTTCAAAAATTAGAGCAGAACACATGAATTCAGAAGAAAAACAAGCCATTTTGAAACTCCTGAAAGAATATTCAGACATTTTTCATGTAGAAGGCAACCACTTAACTTTCACAAACAAAATTAAGCATAGGATTAGAACATCGGACGAAATACCAGTTTATACAAAAACCTATTGATATCCAGAAATTCACCGTCGGGAAGTTCAAATGCAAATTCAAGAGATGTTAAATCAAAAAATCATCAGGCCTTCATATTCCCCATGGTCTTCACCAATCTGGATAGTCCCAATGAAATCCGATGCTTCAGGACGAAAAAAATGGAGAATTGTGGTAGATTTCCGTAAAGTTAACGAAAAAACTTTAGGGGACAGATACCCTATCCCCAACATTAATGACTTATTGGACAAATTAGGCCGATGTCAATATTTTATCACCCTCGACCTAGCCTAAGGCTTTCACCAAATTGAAATGGCTGAGGAAGATATCTCAGAAACAGCATTCAATACCGACAATGGACATTACGAATTCTTAAGAATGCCCTTTGGACTACGTAATGCACCCGCCACTTTCCAAAGAGTTATCGACAACATACTTAGAGGATATCAGAACCAAATATGAGCAGTATATATGGACGACATTATAATCTTCAGCACAAGTCTCCAAGAGCATATAATAAGATTGAGGAAAATATTTGACAGACTACGAGATTCAGTTTTTGAGAAAAGGAGGGGCTTATTTAGGACATCTTGTGACACCGGAAGGCGTTAAGCCCAATCCAGACAAGATAAGAGCAATAAAACAACATCCAATTCCAAAAACAGCAAAACAAATAAAAGGATTTTTGGGACTTCTGGGCTACTATAGGAAATTTATAAAAGACTTCGCGAGGATCACCAAACCCATTAGTAAATGCCTCAAGAAGGGATCTGTAATCAACATAAAAGACCCAGAATATATAAAAAGCTTCGAAATGTGTAAAAATATTTTGACGAACGAGCCAATTCTACAATAACCCAACCCCAACTTCAATGAAGATTTTCTTTTAACCACCGACGGGAGCAACTTTGCTATCGGAGCCGTGCTCTCCCAGGAGTCCCAGGGTAAAATTGGTTCGGACCTCCCATTATCGTACGCAAGCAGAACATTAAACACCAGCGAAACAAACTATTCCACAATAGAAAAAGAAATGCTAGCTATAATATGGGCTGTCAAGTATTTCAGGCCTTATCTGTTCGGAAGAAAGTTCAAAATTATAACGGATCATAAACCGCTTGAATGGCTTTTCACCGTGAAAGAACCGAGTTCAAAACTCGTACGGTGGCGGTTGAAATTGCAGGAGTATGATTACGATATATAAAAAAGGGTCATTGAATAAAAACGTCAACGCACTTTCGCGTATCGAGCTACATGTAAATGAAACAATACCGGAGGAAGATTTCGAGAACGCAATTTTCTAACTGCAACAATATGTTGAAGAAATAAATAAAACTCTCCCAACGGATTCAACAGATGAGGCACAATCAGAGAATAACTATTCTGTCATCGCCGAGGCTGGAGACATCGACAGAGTAAATAAAGCAGTAGAAAATAGTGGTGCCACAATACATTCTGATTCAGAAAAGCCAATTATAGGCATTCCGATATTAGAAGGCCCCGTTAACCATGGAAATCATCAAATATTTATTTCCGAAGTAAACTATGCACCAGAAAAACCATCAAAAATAAAACTACATAAAACAAAAGAAAGGATTCTTGTACAATTCTCAAATAAAAACACTGAAAAAAGAAATAGTTTATTAAAGAAATGGTTATTCCAAAAATCAGATATCATCTCTACTTCGAAGACCCAATTTACGAAAGATTTAGCACAACTTTACAAAAATATTTCAAAAATTCTGAAATCCAAATGGTAAAATGCACAAAAAAACTAATCGATGTCACAGAGGAAGACGAAATTCTAGAAATCATAACAAACTACCACGAAGGTAAAACAAATCACCGTGGCATTGAGAAATCGCTAAGGCGAAGAAAAAACATTTACTACTGGTCCAATCAACAGAAAACTATCCAAACGTTTATCAATGAGTGCGAGGTTTGTCAAATGACAAAATATGAAAGACATCCGCTGAAATTAACTTATAATCTAACGCCTACGGCTACAAAGCCCTTCCAAATACAACACATCGATACCATATCCCTGGAAAACTGTAAATTTTTAAGCATCATAGATGCATTCTCGAAATACGCACAAATTTATAAACTTGATTCAGCTCAAGGGATAGAAATATCCATATAAACTGATAACATTTTTCAGTCACCATTGCATTCCTGACCAAATAATGTCAGATAATGGTGCAGAAATAAAAAATTCCATAGTAAAAGAACTACTACAAACACATAAAGTTCACATCCACTTTATAAGCTCCCAACACCCTGAATCAAACGGCATGGTAGAGAGATTTCACTCTACGATAATTGAACCCATACGTTTATTAAACAATCAAGAGCCGAGTAAGCACGAACCCATAGAAAATAAAGTGAACTACGCCATTTTGGCCTATATTAACAGTATCCATTCCGCAACCAGGCTAAAACCTTATGAAATAGTCACAGGTCA